GGACCAGACAATCCTGTGATTGACATCATTGCATTGATCAACACAATTGGGATACGAGCAAGTCTGACCACCCGACCCTGTTAGTCGCCTCTTAGGGCAAGCTTGGGTTGCTGAAGACCAATTCCAACCCGGATCTTCACGGGTGGAAAGATTGGTTTGGTTGGTTTGTTGTTTAACGCCGCACTCAGCAATACTCCAGCTATATGACGGCGGTCTGTAAATAATCGAGTCTGGACCAGACAATCCAGTGATTGATATCATGAGCATCGATCCATGCAATTGGGAAATGATGACATGCATCAACCAAGTCAGCGAGCCTGACCACCCGATCCCGTTAGTCGCCTTTTACGGCAGCATGGGTTGCTGAAGACCTATTCTACCCCGGAATCTTCACGGGTCTGGGTGGAAAGAATTGGAAGGATGAAGAATTATCTGAGTTTGAACATGGATCAATAGTTTCCTTCTTAATTCTAAAGGTACACATAAACATCTTTATGAGTGCACTGTGACACACGTGAAATATACCACTTAAAAGAACTTAAAGAACACACAATTTTTTCACATTACGACAATTAGTCTGTCATGTCATGCCATTAGCCAGATGACAAAAAAACAAAAAACATGGTTTGATTTTAGGCTAATGTGCTAAATATAACCTCTCAGTCTTGAATAAAAACCCTCAACAAAATAAATAAAACAATATTAGAAAAGCATATTTTCGATCCTATTTACTGTCTACTTCAGGACAGTGTCTGAAATAATTTTATAACCCAACAAGACAGTTGAATTTAAATGTATCCTTGCATACTGTGTTTTTGAAACTCCAAGAAGTATTTCTGATTAAGCATCTTAATATCAATCCCAATACACTTAAATTAAGACAGATTGACTAATTAGAGCGTAGTTACTTCCTTTCATCCACTGTTAATAATGGATCGCTGAACATGCTGAAGACAGTGTGAGAAAAATCACATCTTGATTCAGTTGAAATAATGCAACCAATTTCTTGCCAATCAATGTGGAGTAAGGATAAAACTGAATACATAAGTAACAGCGTTCCCATTTACCGGTAATTACCAGTTTTTTACCGGTTAAATTAGGCTTGGACCGGTTATTGATGTGACTGCCAGTCCCTATGGACCGGCAAATATAGTACTTTTAAATCTTTGTTGTTAAACAAAACATTGGCGATAATCTTATAAGTACATTTTTAGAACAAAGTCAGCTTGTCTGTTACCATCAGGGTTTCCCCTTGTCTACTTCTAGGTTAAATGTCCATTTGTAGCGACCTCATCTGGAAATATTAATTAAAAGAAGAAGAGAAAATTGTGACTGAAGTTTGTGTGAATGACGTACAGATTTAACAAAGTTACTTCAGAGATGACATATTTGCACTAAACATGATGTTGAATGAATTAAAACCAAATAATTTTAATACATTTTTTTTATTTGTTGAAAGTTGGGACTGGCAAAAATTAGGGGGAACTGGTAATTTTTAGAGTTACCAGTCCACAAGGACTGGCAGTTTCAAAAGCCAGCGGGAATACTGAAGTACATTGTAGTCTTAAAATTATCTGCTAGACAAGTGGGCAGGTGGAGGAATATTTCATGCAGCCTGACAGAAGACACCAGCCACAGGCAGTCAGTTATTTTGGACAGTGCTTCAGGAATATCGAGGTTAATCCCATCTGTTTCACAAGGAAATAAACGAGTCTTTACCAACAATTTAGCTTTAGACATTGTTGTTCAGGATGAAGTAAAATATATTTGCTTATCACATTATTTAAAGTAAAACAAAATGCTATCCAACAATCTCATGTATTAGGCAAAAAAAAATAATAGTCTTGGTTCTGGGCACCACCCACGTCTTCATAAACATGATAAAGTCTGCCAAACGTTTCGTTTTTATTTCCATTTTAAAAAGAATAGTGAGTGAGTGAGTATGGTTTTACGCCGCTTTTAGCAATATTCCAGCAATATCACGGCGGGGGACACCAGAAATGGGCTTCACACATTGTACCCATGTCGGGAATCGAACCCGGGTCTTCGGCGTGACGAGCCAACGCTTAAACCACTAGGCTACCCGACCGCCCCTTTAAAAAGAATAAATAATCCTTACTTTTTTATGCGCACTGCTTTACTGCTCATCTCGAGTTATGGTCATAGTGACAATAGGAGTTTGCATACTTGTTTTTGTAGGCAGGCCCTTTCCCAGGTTGATGGTACACAACTATGTATTTGTTTCCACTCATGTAGATCATCATAAGTATCTGTGCTTTGTGTTAGTTTGAATTTATGAATTCTTTACCATATCGGTTAAGGCCAGATGGAAATTATCAAATTATTGATTTTCTTATATGATATTATTCCATTTTTTATGTGTTTTTCTATCAAAAATTTTTGGTCCTTTTGATAATTCTTCTTATGTAACTCCTCAATCAAATTTTTATTCAAAGTTGTTCATGGTGATCTACTTCCTTGTAGTGAACACTGGTAACATGGGAGATTTGGGTGTGGGTGTGGGGGGGGCTCAATCTTAGTTTTTAAAACATTGATGTTAAAATCAGTTAGAAATATGTAATATTTCATTAATTAACAAACTATTTACTATTTGTTGTTGACCAGCTGGGATAACGGGGGTATGTGAGCTTTGCTCACTTCTTTCTTGTTTATATGAGGGTCCATATTACTGGCAGGAGACATAATAACCAAAAAACAAATTAAGCTAAAAAAGATAATAGTCGTGGTTCTCAGGCACCGCCCACATCATCATAAAGTCTGCCGCACATTTTGTTTTAATTTCCATTTTCAAATTGTTTAAAAAAAATCCTGATACCTAAAACAATGCGATCCAATATAGCATGCAGTTACCTTTACATACTCACTTCTCCACTGCACATCTTGTGTTATGGTCATGGTGACAATAGGAGTTTATGTGCTTGTTTTTTAGGGAGGCCCTTTCCCAGGGTGATGGTACACAACTGTGTATTTGGTTACATACTAGTTTGAACAAGCAAAAAAAACAACAAACCACTGCCCGCCCGCACTATATTTTCAAAAGGCATTGGCTGATAACCAATTCTTTTTTTTTAAACCTTATAAATAAACTTGTAAGTGCAGGTAGGATCATCAATATTCCAACAATGATCTTTACCAGCTTACTGTTGGAGTTCTAATAAATGATATGTTGTTGTCCGAGTAAAACACAGTTTTATGGAGTCTGACGCATATTTGTGACCAAGTTGTCATAAGCACCTGCGGCATATGATGGAAATCTCTCCCACTGTATATGTGCCGTAATAAGTTGATACAGATGCAAGCTCTTTATATTCAGTTCCGGACACCATGATATTAACTCACTTAGATACAGTTACACACAGGATCCAGAAGCACATACACCATGATACACAGCATTCAAAAACTACTTTTTCAACCTAGTGACATTTCACAAGTATATAGCTGACAACATTTTGGGGGACTTTCTGGCAATTTTGAGTACCTAATGATAACAACAAGTCTCTTGCTCTCGGGGATTTTCAACTAAGTTTTTTTCACATCCTTCGACAGAAATTGTCCTTAGTGGCAGATCAGCTGACATTCTCGCCTGCATCTATGCATGGTTTCAGTCTCAAATTATCGAAGTCAGGGTTGTATTATATAGTTACCAGTCCTACTACAAGCAAGTTTTGTTTGTTTGTTTGTTGTTTAACGCTGCACTAAGCAATATTTCAGCTATATGACGGCGATCTGTAAATAATCGATTCTGGACCAGACAATCCAGTGATTGACATCATGAGTATTGATCCACACAATTGGGATACGATGATATGCATCAACCAAGTCTGCGAGCCTAACCACGAGAGCCTGTTAGTCTCCCCTTACGACTAGCATAGTCCCCTTTTACAGCAAGCATGTGTTGCTGAAGACCTATTCTACCCCGGATCTTCACGGTAAGAAACACATTTAACAAATTACTTCCGTAAAAATCGCCATGTGTGCGGAGTGTACAAAAATATCTTATTTTGCACCCGTTAGTTTATTATGTAATAAAAGCATTATTTCAAAACATTTCAGCATACAGTCTAGTTTCAATAAATCAGATATTATATCTAAAACCTGCAATCAATACATAATAGCGTCTGAAAATGAACTTCGCGGAAAATGAGTGCGAATGTTTGATGCCATAGGTAGATTAACGTCATGGAGTGGAGAGATGATAATCAAGGATGACGTAAAATATCCTTCGGGGATAAACAAACTTGTTGATGTTGGTCATCTGTCAGTCTAGTATGCACTAAAGTAACACATGGATGCAGATCTATTATCCTGGAGCAAAATATATTTTAATGTGGTATTATTGCTACTTAATTGTTTGTATATATTAAAGTATGATGGTATCACTTATTTTGCCCATTTTTGAACATAAAAACATAATGTTCCATTTTCAAAATTTGAAGGGCTATCATAACCTGTGTTGTACAGTTTATGGACCCACACCGACACCCATCAAACACTGGCATGGGACCTGGTACATGGGAAACAAATTTAGGGACAACTTTTTCATATGTTTCTGTATTGGAAATTATAGTCTCCTTCCTGATGATAAGACCTATCTTTACAACAGACAAACAGCCAAATTTGACAACCATGTCCTTGTGGACATCGGACACGCCCACACCTTTCTGACTCCTGTTGCGTTATGAGTCATATTAAATTATTTAATATTCTACACACCAATTGACCCATGTCTCCCCTGTTTCTTTTAAAATAATCACCATTTACGGTTCTCTTTACCCCATATCCCCCATATGGAGTTGATTTTTTAAATTCATGATTTTGTTTGAAATCACAATCAGATGTAGAGATGTCTGCTAATTCTAGTTTCGAATGACAACTTGTTTGACATATATCTGAGCACTTGTCACTGTGTTTCGGTCATGACTTCCGGGACACAGTCGCATTGTGGTGATTTTAAATGACTATCAAATGTAAATACTTACTTAGATAGATGTTTCAAAATTTGATTTTTCAATAAGGACGCCATCCCGAGTCATCTGCGACTTGCTACGTGTTCACACTCATATTCGCTCGAAAGTCTCAGTTGCTATCGCCATGTCGTCTTCTAGCTGTCGCCGATAACACGCACAACAAATTATATATTCCTTATGAATAAATATATGTTCGTGTTACTTTTTAGTAATTTTTCAATCAATTTAGATAAAACAATACAAAACAAGACACACGGTGCATTGTTTGTCACATTAGCAAGCCTAGTTACGAATGTTAATGATGTATGCGGGCACCAAAGGGACGTAACTCTGATAAGTGCACAATGTCAATGACATTGGAAGTGAACATCTCAACAATAGGATCGATTCCATATGATCTCAGCTTTGATTTTCCGCGCAGTCTGTCAAAGACATTCTTGAAACCCACCTGCATGTGCTCCAGTAGGTTTGGAGCGAGAAGTGGAACATGTACTCCCGAGTTTCAGGATGTCTAAAAGATAACATTCAATATGTATCAATTTTATTAATAAATTAAAGATCCATCCAAATGTTTCAAAAATGTTTTATTCTGTTTATAACAAAATCCCCAAACCACCTATGTACATTAACTGTCAATGGATGTTACTATGGTATCAGTCAATCTGCGTAAATATTACCAGGGTGCCATGCAGTCCGTCAACAGGAAATGTTACCAGGGTGTCGGTCTCAATCTACATGAAATGTTTCAACGGTGTCGGTCCGTCTACAGGAAATGTTACCAGTGTGTCAGTCCGTCTACAGGAAATGTTTCCAGGGTGTCAGTCCGTCTACAGGAAATGTTACCAGTGTGTCAGTCCGTCTACAGGAAATGTTACCAGGGTGTCAGTCCGTCTACAGGAAATGTTACCAGGGTGTCAGTCCGTCTACAGGAAATGTTTCAACGGTGTCAGTCCGTCTACAGGAAATGTTACCAGGGTGTCGGACTCGATCTACATGAAATGTTTCAACAGTGTCAGTCCGTCTACAGGAAATGTTACCAGAATGTCATTCCGTCTACAGGAAATGTTACCAGGGTGTCAGTCCGTCTACAGGAAATGTTACCAGGGTGTCAGTCCGTCTACAGGAAATGTTTCAACGGTGTCAGTCCGTCTACAGGAAATGTTACCAGGGTGTCAGTCCGTCTACAGGAAATGTTACCAGGGTGTCAGTCTCAATCTACATGAAATGTTTTAAGGGTGTCAGTCCATCTACAGGAAATGTTACCAGGGTGTCGGACTCGATCTACATGAAATGTTTCAACAGTGTCAGTCCGTCTACAGGAAATGTTACCAGAATGTCATTCCGTCTACAGAAAATGTTACCAGGGTGTCAGTCCGTCTACAGGAAATGTTACCAGGGTGTCAGTCCGTCTACAGGAAATGTTACCAGGGTGTCAGTCCGTCTTCAGGAAATGTTACCAGGGTGTCAGTCCGTCTTCAGGAAATGTTTCAACGGTGTCAGTCCGTCTACAGGAAATGTTTCAACGGTGTCAGTCCGTCTACAGGAAATGTTTCAAGGGTGTCAGTCCGTCTACAGGAAATGTTTCAAGGGTGTCAGTCCTTCTACAGGAAATGTTACCAGTTTAAATTGCCAGTCCGCCTACAGGAAATGTTACCAGTTTGCCAGTCCGTCTACAGGAAATGTTACCAGGGTGACAGAATAAGAGAATAGTTCAATAATTTACCTCACACAAGTTTTATTTATCTACGCAAGTTCATTCAAATACTGAAAAGCAAAATGAAACATTGGGATTTTACTGCCGCTTCATACATTCTGAGCTCGCTTTCGATTTCAAAGCCTTAGACGACCCTGGTGACCCCGTGTTGACCCCGTGTTGACCCCGTGTTGACCAAGGTACAGCCAATGTAAGCTTGGTTGACCAATATAAGCACGTGTTAACTGACTTACGTCATACTTCGGTTGACCTTGGTTGCCCACACCTACTGAACCCCTGGGGTGCCGTACTGTGGTTTGCGACCTCCAAGTGACGTCATCGTTAATCCTTATTCGTTTCCGTCAGTGAGTTGTGTTTAACGCCGCTTTTAACGGTATTCCAGTTATATCACGGCGTGTCAGCTTAATGTGGGAGGAAAGACCGAAGTGATGCAGGCCTTAGACGTTTACCACTTCGGTGAAACCCACGAGCACGGGTATGGTGCTGACAAACCTAGAAACATTATCGGGGCGAACCGGAATTCGAACCCACAATCATAGGTTTCTGGCATGCCCAATGGACGCAACTCTGCACAGCGAATCGCGGCGCCTTAGACGACTGGGCCACCCGTGCCCCCTTCATTTAGGGGTTCAACCATGAAGAATGAATATAATTGACTATGTATTGATGGTATATATGTATTTTGATATGTGTCAGTGTAATTTAACTTTCGATTACTGATATACATTGTACATACGTTAGAATAAATTATGAGACTTTGCTAATGAATTTGTATATCTGTTTCATCCTGTTAATTTGAAAGTTCTTGTTTTAAAAGCATTAAATGGAAAAGATACAATGTACTTTGTCAAAAAAATGTAATACTCGTTAACCATTCGTAGTTGTGTATTATAGCGGTACACATGGCTGTTGTACGTGTTTCCCTGTCTCCTGAAAACCATCATTATATCTAAGGTTGCATTTTGTGCGTTTTATTTCGGATACTGCCCAAGGTTAAGTGTAGGATAAAGCACAGCCAACGTATTTTAAGTTTAAAGCCCGCATTCGCGGGATACAACCGAGGGTAATGGTTTAAATATCATTAAAAAACGAGGGGAAATATTTTTTCTAACTAATAAACCGAAAAAAGAAACTAAAAACATTTAACAACATTTTTACGTTCCACGAACCTTAGGAAGCGGACGTAAAATATCTGTTGCTGGCTTACGGTTCTGGAAAAAGACATTCTTAAAAGTATTGTGATTTATCAGCGCCTCTGTGGCCCAGTGGTACAGTCACAGATACGAAAGTTGCGTGTTCGATCCTCGGGAATATAAAGAAAATATTTGTCATTTGATTTCACATTTCATTACATTGTGTTCAAATGCAAATTATATTTCTGGCAAAAAAAACCATTCAAATGTTACAATGTAAACGGTTGTACTAATAAAATTCCTGGGATATTAAAACTCATTATACAGCAAATATGTATGCAATATCAGATATAATTCCCGGAATATTACAACATCTCTGTATATGAGATTTAACCTCACTGGAGGACAAACGTATTACGTCACTTGGTTAACACTGGCCAACTCAGGTTGAATGTGGTCAACCCTGGTTGCCAGATATGTTGTAACACCGGTGGACTCGGGTTGAATTTCGTCAACCCTGGTTGCCAGATATGTTGTAACACCGGTGGAGTCGGGTTGAATTTCGTCAACCCTGGTTGCCAGATATGTTGTAACACCGGTGGAGTCGGGTTGAATTTCCTCAACCCTGGTTGCCAGATATGTTGTAACACCGGTGGAGTCGGGTTGAATTTCGTCAACTCTGATTGCCAGATATCATCGGTGAACTCAGGTGACTCAGGTGTTAATAATCGCAAGCACGTACTGTTTTCAAGCAGCGTTACCCTATAACATACTATTTAACATTTAGGCGCCGCGCTTCGCTGTGCAGAGTTGCGTCCCTTGGGCATGCCAGAAACCTATGATTGACGGTTCGAATCCCGGTTCGCCCCGAATTATGTTTCTAGGTTTGTCAGCACCATACCCGTGCTCGTGAGTTTCACCGAAGTGGTAAACGTCTTAGACCTGCATCACTCTGGGCTTTCCTCCCACATTAAGCTGACACGCCGTGATATAACTGGAATAATGTTAAAAGCGGCGTTAAACCCAACTCACTCACTCACTCACTCATTATTTAACATGTGATAGAGATGTTCTGAATTTGGAGGCGGGAATACATCAGACTGGATGTCAGGAGATGTTTTCGTATGAAATTGGTGCGAAGTTTGTATGGAACTGACGCATGTTGAGCTCCATTTTAAGAGTAATACTAAACAAAAGAAGACAGGGTTGCGTGCATCTTCCCGAGACAAGGGAGTTACCTGACTATAAAAGTCCAGTTTCCACCCTTGCCGAACTAGTCCGGAATTTCTGGGTTCGATCGTAGCACGACCAGTGGTTACCAGAGTTATGTCCCTTCTTTGTCCTTACTATTGACCAGTCAGATTCCCCCTCTCATATCACTTGCAGTTGCTTCAAACAAAATGGAGGCGCCCATTGAAGACGATAGGATCGATAATTAATTGCAAGATCTATATTGTAACAAAAAGGGTCTCACTTCGAGAAGTGCATCAAGTGTACGCTGATTACAAAACATGAAAAGATTTGAAAAATATATGTTGACGCAAAGTTGACGGTACACATGCTTTGCAAATCCTGCAATCGACCGAAATCTGAATGGCAGTTTACGAACCGGATGTTGGTTTCGTAATGCGATTACTTGGTCTTTTATAGTCAATTAACTCCCTTCCCACGGGAAGATCGGTTGCGTGCGTGCGTACGTACGTGTGAAGTTGTTAAAATATTTCCGCAATATCATTATAGGTATGGCATAGTTTCAACATCAGGTTGTTGAGTGAGACTTTGCTGCATGCAAGCTTCACGTCTCTTCCAAGAGGAGACAAAATGAATCCCAAGTTCACTCAAATGCGTGAGTGTGAACAAAACTACTCAACTCCACAAAGGGACTCTGTGACAGCTCACACTCGAAAACAGGGAGACAACGATATTTATAAATGTTTACTTTTCTTTACTATTACTTGAAATGAAGCGTATAACGATTGGTACAGCATCTCCACATAACCAGTCAGATTTACCCCCCACCCGGACACTCAGAATACCCCTATCAATTGTTGTCTAGTATATATGAAGAGCTTAGCGCCAAAAGGAGCCAAAATGCACTTTGGGCCTTTATGCATATTATTGTATATATAACATCTATGAGTTCTTGTCTACTTGTAGAAATACATTTTTGAAATATACCTACTTACAATTCTCTAAAAGGACCAGTTCCCAAAGGGCCAAAGTCATTTTGCTAGATTTTGGCCCTTTTAGCTCTCATTTCCGTGTGTGGTTGATCAAGAGATTTT